AAGAATCTACGTTTAAATATTGTTTGTAATATGATTAACCTCGATCACTTTCGATTAGTCTTACATAGTTATGAGTAAGAGAGTCGTGAGGAACGTTTTCAGATGTTTGTGAAGTGGAACTGTTCTGACAGAAAAAATCATATCGATGTATTTGAAAGGTCCATTGCTTTTTTTGAATTGATGTCCTCATCAAAATACACTGTATTGGAAAGTAGTAGCGCCATTTATCAGAAACCTGTTGTTTTACCGTTAACAGTAACAGAATTCAAGAGATTCTTATTTATGCCAACAAAATATATTTAATTTCAGTTCAACAATACCATATATAGTCAAACGGATGATGTAGCAATGGAACGTTCACTGAGTTCAATTAAAACAGACGTCTATATGGGTTATCACAAAATCATGAAGCTTAAACAATCTATTAACGAGATGATGATGGAATGACCAACTTGTGTTGATGACACCTACTTACTTCAATGGCTTGTTATTGATCGTCTATTGTTAGTAGTAGTTTTACTATTATTATTATTATTATTATTATTATTATTATTATTATTGGTTTTATTGAATGTTTCATGCTTTGTATAATTTAGGATTCACAGCACAAAGTATATTAACAAGTTTCTTTTCTAAACAAAAATAAACCATACATGAATACATATATACATGAATTAGGTAAACAAGCTACTTGTAATTAAATGAGTTGATTTTTTAATAAAATAAGAATCTGTACGGCATCTAATTAGCAACATCTTCAAGATTACTAGTCATTGAATGGGTCAGCTTTTACAACCTGTTAGTCAAATAGTGTGTTTGCTAGATAGGATATTGTAAAGCTTCTATATTTTTGCGTGCATGAATGGATTCTAATGCATTGGCGCCTCATTCTACCACATAATATACAAAAAGAAAGATATAAATGAAGTGGATGGTTAGTACTGGATAAGATAACAACTACCAAGAGTTTGTAAGACTTAAGATATTTATCAATAACTATATTCATAATGATTTTAAACGTTTCAACACACACCCTGCTAACTGACTTCAGCACTCTGAGCAACACAGCAAAATCTTTTATGTAATAATTACCCAGGTTTAAAATCACAACACTTGTAATGTAGCATCATCGTAATATCAATAATTGTTGTCACATAATGTTTTCACCAGTGAAAGGTTTGTGTATCTGTGCCACGGGAAGGAAGAATATAATGACACGCTAGAATTTAGTAACTCTGAATTTCGAACTGACAGTAGTGATAACAAGATCAAAATCTCCACACTAAATAATGCATGTGTTATGTAGATTCTTCGAATAACTAACATGAGATTGTGGTTTGAAATTATAACAAACATTGATAGTTTAACATTATTATTATTATTATTATTATTATTATTATTATTATTATTAATGGCTTTATTCAATATTATATTTTTGGTACAATATAGAATTCTCAGCACAGGGTATTTCAACAAGTTACTTACTGAAAAAAAAAACGAACAAATAGGCAGTAGCAAATACAAAAAGAAATTTTTTAAAAAAAGAAGTTTTTTTTTAAAATAAATTTTAAAAAAAAGACCAAAAAAAAAAAAAAAAACTGTGCAAAACTTTTTAAAATTAAAGACATGTTAAGAATGTAAATTATTAACTAGGTTATTTCTAACAACCTGTTCGTCACATAGTATATTTGCTAGGTAAGGAATTATAGAAGTTTTATACTTTTCCTTACGTGCATGGATTTTAATGTAATTACGTCTCGTTCTACCAGAAGATATACAAGGAGAAAGATAAGAGTGAAGGGGATGGCTAGTATCTGACAAAATAACACCTGCCAGGAGTTTGCATGATTTTAAATGTCTATCCACAACCATATTAATTATGGCCTCGAAAGATTCACCACACATCTTGCTAACTGCCTTCAGCACTCTTCGCAATACAGCAAAGTCTTTTCTCAAAAGCCCGGGAAAGAATAATGGAGAACAGTAAAGAATAATAGGTAAAATGCAAGAATTGACAAATTGTAAGAGTAAATGACGAGTAATCCCAAGAGCATGCAATCTCTTTATGTAGTAGGTCAGACGGAAAACCTTCTTCGATAACGATAAAACGTGGGAAGACCAAGACAGATCAGAGGAAAAGGTGACACCAAGATAATTGACCTTCGACACTGAGTTTATGAAAGAGTCTCCGATGGCACTAGCATTATGGGATCTCAAAATGGTGTTTATATTCCGTTCATGTCTCATGCTAAAGTTAACAGCTTGACATTTAGACGGATTAAGTATGAGACCATTACCAACAGACCAACAATCAATACGAGACAAAAACTCATTCATTTCTACGGGATGTAAAGAGGAAGATATAAGCATACATACAGTGAGATCATCCGCATACTTCACAAAAGTGTTTTCTGTAGAAGATGGCAGGTCATGCAGGAAAAAAGAGAATAGAAGAGGTGAAAGAACAGCTCCTTGTGGTACACCTTCCTGAGACAGTAGAGACTCCGAACACTTTCCTCCAAACACAGTGTACTGTTCCCTTCCAGAGAGGTAGGAACATAGCCAGTTGGTTATCCAGCTGTCAGTGTTGACGCTGAATAACTTGTTAAGTAAACTTTGTCTTGGTATAGAGTCAAAAGCTGAAGTATAGTCCAGAAAAGCACAACGAACATACTTCTTACTCTTTTCTAAGTTGAACACTATGTTGTGGTGCAGAACTGCAACAGCATCTAAAGTGCTTCTTTTGCGCCTGTATGCAAACTGGTATGGGTCAGTATGCTCTTTTATCGCAAGCTGAAGTGGAAGTATTAATAATTTTTCCATGGTTTTGAGGAAGGGTGAAGTTATTGCAATAGGTATAAATTTTACATTCTTATCACCAGATGCTTTCTTGGGTACAGGAATTATCTTCATCTTTCTCCACGTTTTCGGTATGAGATTAGATGAGAAGGATCTGTTAAATATAGTTGTGAACGGATGACACAGAACGTCAGCACATTTTTTAAAAAGGATGTTTGGGATACCATCAGGTCCCAAACATCGAGATGAATTAAGCGATCGGAGATATCCTCGTACATCAGTTTCAGTGAAAGTAGGAACACAGCTATTTTTTAAACCCGTGGATAGAGGGAGCATCACATCAGATGACTGACGAACAAAAGACTTATTTAAGTCACTAACATTCAGCTGGTTATCGCTTCTAAACTGTCTGTCGCCTGTAAGTTCTTTAAAGAGTTTCCACATACTTGGAGTGTTTCTGCAAGATAAGAGCTTTTGAGTAAACATGCAGTTGAGACGTCTAATCTCTAGCTTTATCAGACCATTTAGCTTACGAACTTCATTAGAGTTCTTCTCCTTGTACATTCTTTCTTTCATCCTTCGTAGTCGTTTTAGTTGTGTAGATGTAAATCGATCAAAACTTACAAAAATAGTTTCAGTGGGACAGCAAATATCAAAACAGAATTTAAGGTAACAAGTGATAACATCAGTAGTGTTTTCGAGTGAGTCATCTGTAAATAATTCCCAGTAAGTCGTATGAAACATGCTTTTCAGATTTCGGATATTTTCTTCTGAGTAATTCCTATATTTGACTTTCTTGGTATGACGTAAGAGTGTACTCTTCTCATGCTTTCCATATACTTTAGGTAGAACACGAATTATACAGTGATCTGAGCTAGAAAATGGAGCACGTTTACGAGTCGCATATATACCCACATCATTAATGAAGACGAAGTCTAGATAAGCATCCAAACGGGTAGGAAAATCCACTACATTTTGGTGACCCAGTGACGTAAGGAAGCTATAGTCACATGAATTGAAGTCACCACATACGACTGAAAGTGAATCACTGAAGGCAGTAAAAGCGAACTCAGTGAATTCATCAGCAAAATCAGATAGTGCAGATGATGTGCAATCTGGAGTAACGTAGATATTGGTAACATAAACATATTTGTATTTATTTAGATGTTTTGGACGACATCTTAGAGATAGACAGTCGATAAAGTCATTTGAAAACTTAAAACACACAAACGAAGATCGACATCAGTTTATGTTTACAAACGTAGCTACACCGCCACCAGACCTCTTTTTATTGTTCGATCGATCCTGACGATAAATTTTAAAATCACGTAGTGATACAAGGCAGTCATCCTGTAAACCATTCAACCAAGATTCTTGAATTGTGATGAAACCACAATTACGATACGTATTTTGACTAAGTAGGAATTGCAGATAGTCCACTTTGTTGATTAGTGACCGGCAGTTAGAATTAAGAAGCTCGGGAATCGACATACGATTAATGTTCATTCTCTTTAACGCATATTGCCAACCACCACGATGTCTTTTATAGTACTTTTTCGTAACTTGTGCAGCGAAAGGTCGTAAGCTTTTCATAAAAGCGCCTGAATAGGTTATGCGATTAATGGACATAATTATAAATTAAAACAAATAAAAAAAAACAGATAACTTGTTGAAATAATCAGATGGCAGAAACAGGTAGCCCAGATATTCAAGCAGGCCGCCTTGGTAGCTTGATAGCTTGATAGCTTGAATATGAACCATGAAACAGTGTAGCTTGACAAAAGATGGTGAATGTGGGAATAATAAATAATAACAACCTAAACATGAGATTACCATGATGTAAAATTGTATTTTAGATACATTTGTTGTGAACTTATGTTGTTCGCATGCATGGATTCTGTATGTGAGTTTACTTTGCTCCTATTATAAAATGAGGTCATGGGAAAATATCGAAATACCGTACTTTATTGCAAGGGATTTATGAGATTTTCACATTATTTCAATATTATATAAACCATATGAAGGTGAATAAGATATTTCATCTCCAGGAATTTTATCATGAACATTTTTGCTATCATTTCTTTATGTCTGGTACTGTCTAAATTATTGAAATCTGAACATGTTTGTCCTATTGTTGAAACTGAAAAACCGGCAAGTTATCAAATATGAATATTGAATAATATATATATGTATTGTTTCAGAGTGATAGTATCTATTCACAAAATATTGTTAAACGGTCATCAAATCGTCTTAATTTGAAAATCACACCAATTTATGATAGGAAGGTTGAAATGAGTATGGCGTTTTCAAAAATCAAAGTGAGTTTCAGTATGCTTGAGTGATAACAACTATGTTCTATGGCAAAATTCACTGAAGCCATAAGGAGGTGTACATTCCATACTTATCTTCATAAACATGTTTTATTGATAGATCTCTTAATTATCCTACATATCATAAATAAAAAAGGTGTGAGGAGAAACAATGAATCGTGATAGTAGTTCTTAAAGCATGAAAACAATACTAGTTTGATGATTGTAAGATATAGAGAAGAATATATAATTTGTGCATTAGTTATTGTATAAATCATTGAGTGTATGAAAGTTTATTAAACACTATCTTTCTTTATACACAAAACTAAGAGATAATATAGTGTTTTCTCAGGTTATGTAATTTGTAAATAGATAAAAAAATCAAACGATATCACAAATGAGATGATGGTTGGAGGTAGTCAACAGGAAATTCTGAACCTTGGTTTCGTGCTCATTGTCACTCATCAGCAAGGTGTAGCTATAATCTTGAGGAAACTGATGCTCCCTAATGAGTTTGATCCCGTTTTACTCAGCTTCACAGTCAGAGAAGTTACCACTGAGCTATTCGGGTAGCGACTGATATCTTGTGGGACTGGGATGTATTTACAATTGACTGATCAGCACGCAGTGATATCACAAATATCCGTCAAGTTTTACTAAATGCAATTATAAACTGTCAGAAACACTACTTTGCTTGTCCTTCAATTTGCATGATAAGACAAACGACATTATCGCTCATATTTTGAAAAGTAGTGTCTAGTTATTATTATTATTATTATTATTATTATTATTATTATTAATATTTGTTTATAATAAATACTCTGAATAGTTTACAGTTGATTCAGTTTGTAAAATGATGAATTTTATACTTGGAATAATAGCTCTCATCTTATTGTGACTATTCAAACTTTAATATACATTAAAGAACACTTTGTAATGTTTGTTCAATATTTTCTTATGAAAACTTTTGAGACATGATACCACACAGGCTTTATTATTATTATCAGAGAGGTGTTTGTGAATATTATAGTAATCTAATAGTTCAGATCATGAGTCAGTTGAAGCTGGACTATCATGGAAAACCTGGAAGCACTGGATAGCCAACTCATTATAACGTGAAAATCCTTAATCACAACTTGCAAAATCTCGCGCACGAACGCTTAACGTCAAGTCCATTGAGCTGGTCGACATCTAATGGAGTTAATATCTAGCTTTAACTGATCCGAAAAATTGCGCAACTTATGCACTACTGTATTCAGTTAGTTGCTTTCTCACAACAGACCCGGTTGAACTCCACTGGTCAATGCTTCTCACTAGAACTCCAGGAAATACTTCTAGTGAGAATCAGTGACCAGCGGAGTTAAATTGGTTCTGTTGTGAGATAGTAATTTACTGAAGACAGTGGTGGATGTGCTGTTCGATTTCGTGGATTAGTCGAAGTTAAACATTAACTCCATTGGATGCCGACTTGCTCAGTAGTCTTAATGTAAAATGTTTTAGAATATATCGATACTACATCGATATTTCTGAACTGACTAAATGATATGTTTTAATCTTTTTTAATAGAGAGCAGTTGAGGATTCTATCAAATTCTGGGAGAAAGCTCTAATTGTTGAGGTGAAAAAACCTGAAAATGTACTTGTTCAGAGGTAAGTAATATTTCATATATAGTGTTAAACTGAAGAGAAAATCATTTAACTTTTAAATGACTTTATCGTTATTCAGTCTTAATTACCTTTCAATTGGGCAGATCAAATGATTTGCTGCTAATTTCTAGTCGTTAATTAACTACAACACACTGGTATTGTTTGAGACAAATTGAAACTATTGTGAACATGGTTTATATCTGTAGTATTAATAATCTTGTTAGAATTGTCAATTATAAATATATGGCTTATACTTCCAATTGTATATCGGTGAGGAATAGATATTGCTTAATTTTCATGTCGTTAAAACGACATGTCTGCATTTGCTCAGTAATAGGCGCTTTTTCGACTGAGTCCGTATGAATAATCAACTCAGCTTCGAAATAGTATACTGTATTAAGTGAGCTGATATAGTTCAGTTTGGACATTTATTGATTAACATACAATAAGTGCACTGTTCAATGTTCAGTGTCTTATATTCAAGACTCGTTTTTATAAATATTACTGTGCTAAGAAATCGCTACATCAATGAAGACCGATTTCGCTTATTATATTAATGTAATCTAGTGTCTACCTGTTTCTATACTTAAGCAAGTAGGTAGAATCGACATTACTTTTAACTAGATTTTAATACTGGTAGCAAAGTATTAAAAATCAATTAGGAATATTCAATCATGATTTAAATACATTGACTTGATTTTGTTTCTTTGAATCTTCCCATTGGTGTTTAGGACTTCATTTGACCAGTCTCTTATAAGCATATGTGTATATTGTGTGTATTGCTTAGATTTTACTTTAAGTCACAAACATTCTTATCAAAGATGGATAATGGCTATCAATGAGATTCAGGACGTGCGTTTCGTCCTATTTGTGACTCATCAGTCGGATAGTTTGTAAAGTCGAAAAACATTTTCTTCATATAAAAATCATAAATGTTAATCCAATACACTTACACTATTTTGTTTTTCAAACCCTTTTTATTTATCAAGAATGCTGAGAAACTAATTTTCAAATCCCTAGATAATTCAAATAGATTGATTTTATTAAAACTGATTCATTTGTCATTTAGAACATGTGAACTGGGTTCAATGGTTACGAGTTCATCTGAAAACATATTACACTGTAGAAGAGACAGTTGTAAACAAACGGAAACATGTTATAACACAGTAATTCCTACTAAATATTTATCAGTAAGTGAATGGAAGTAGAGATGTGATTTTCCATATAAAGTGATACTTCTGAATTAATCATCACTTTTTCTATATATTATCATGTTTTTCAAGGTTTATTCAATCACTTATTGTCCTTACAACTATCAGCATACTTGTCGTCACACAGCCGATTTGCACTTCTTTCTTAATATATTTAGTTACACAATCTATTTCATTGTGACCATTGGTTGAACGGTGAGACTATGATTCATTTTGATGACTTTCGAGCGAATATTAAGTGACTTTGGTAAATTTCAAGTGATCAGAAAACATTCAGTATGAAATATAAATACATTATACGAAACCAAACGTCTAAAGTAGATAAACTTCTATGAAACAGTTTAAAAACATTTCAGGGTTAGAAAGAGCCTCTACGGTGTGGAAAACTAAGTCTAGATAGGTATAGATTTGCTCTTCAGTCATCCGTGTGTACTGTGGTGTCTAAATTCACATAGTTGTTGTAGCCTATTGGTTTCTCATTTTGCTGAAAGTGTCTCTTTTGAAATGATCTATCATGTATACCAGGGCCCTGATAAGTATACTTAAGGACCTGCTACTTACGTAGTCTTCTTCAACACTTCTTGCTTTATTAAATTTGCGTTTTACTACGACTAGTTCATTGATTTCCACGATATTACCGATATCTTCAAACGACTGTATCATGCTTGTCATTTTCATTGCACGTATATCTCGACAGTACTCACACCACTGAACTGTCAAGGCTTTAGTATTACACACAAAGTTTGAAGTCAGTATTACTGACGTTTTAACCATCCATTTTTCAACAATTATCATAATTTGTCTTAGTGTCAATCTGGATTGTGACAAAAAGTGCATCGTTGCAAACATTTACCTTCAACATATATTACATCAAAATACAACACTGTCACGATAGTCTGAACAACTTCCTGCGGTCATTTGACGACCGAAATCACAAAAAAATGAGCAGATTAGTCACATCTATTGTTGCTGGCCAACTATGGCATTCTTTTTAAAATCTACTGTTGATTGATCGTACGCGAGCATTGGGCATTGAAATAGGCTCGCTCAACTACTCGCTTCTGATTTTCTCACACATAAATTATAGTCTCACCGACTGAACTGCAATCCAGCGGGAAAACATTGAAACGACTGTGATTCGAAGTCACAATTCATTACCTCCCCTCAATAATGTAAGGTTTTTCTAACATTTTGCCTTAGCACTTTCCATACATGTCAACCATTAATATTATTCAATTTAAAATTGCATAGTTGCATTTTACTGTTTAAGGATGGATGTAAAAGCCAAAACGTTCTACAATCACTGACTTTTTTTATCAAGGAGCGCTATTATTCACTGTATCAGTGGTTAAGATTCACTTCTCAACGTGGTTATAGCCAGAGATGATCTGTATCACAGCTTGCTACACTTTAAGGTTTCCGTTGAGCTTAATTAATTTTATGGAATTACAACCACCAAGATAAAGGAAAGCTCATTGATCAAGCAGTTTACATAGGAAAACAAATACAACCTATCAAATATTGCAAATTCTAATGGGAGTAAAAATTCAAAATTTTATTGCCTATAACATTTCCGTTGACAGTGTTGCCCTACCACGGTGGTTAATATCCGAAAATATTAGTTCAACTCACTGGAACATTTATCTACAATAGTACGAAATTAACAAGTGTAATATTATAAATAGTTTTTCATTGTTAATTCGCGGTAGGATTCTTACTTATAAACGCAATAATGACGAATTAATTACTCACAAGTTGCTTATTTAATGGTGTATAATGCTCTTAAGAAATATATGACTTGATAAAACAGGCAAGCTAGATTTGTGTGATCCGGCGTACAGAAAAAATAGCTCTGCAGTTGATTGCAACTATGCTTTGCCTCTCAGCTGAATAATGTGTGCTACGAAAATTTTAAAACTATCTAATATATCAACATTGTGAAGACTATTAACTAAAACTGGAGGTTTGAGCTACTTAAGCACAAAGTGATTCATACTGCAGATATCTCGTGCAAAGTTTTGTTTTCCATGCTATTAAATGAAATCGTTTAAGACAAAGATTGTAGTTCCTGATAAGAGAAAATGGCCATTGCTCTTTATTCAACCTTCTGTCAAAGATAGAACTATGGGCTTCGCTCATGGAAGAAACGTAGTATTTCCTGGTCACGAGTCATTGGCTATCCATCTACCATACAAACATGGGCAAACGGCTGATATTCCCAACCAATAACTTGTCTAATTTATTTTATACAGGATATTTGTTGTAATGTAACTTCGTGTTGATGTAGATCTCATCGACCACTGATGATACCCTCTCCTATGATATACGTATTTAAAATGAAAATGGTTCTCTGAGATGACTATAACATATAATAAAAATTACAAAGATTGATTTCCATAAACAGACAATTGTCTGTCTAACTCTCATTCAATTTCAAATATCTACTCCAAAAACATCTTCAGCAAAACACTATCCGTCTCGCTGTTCTGCGTAGACGTGTATTAATAAGATTTTTAAAATGCTGCTCCTTTGATGATGAAAATGTTGATTCGTCTGAAAATAGACTCACCATTGGACGATTAGAGCTACATTTCAATTAACCTGCAGATCCAAGAGACAAAATTATAAAGAATAGCATTTATTTCTCAAACTCAATCCATTACTCTAAATCACTGACAGATGCGTTTTCTATCAAAGTATGCATACAATGTCTGTGTTCCAAATTTAACTGTGGAAAATGTTCCTAATACCATCTCACCTACATTTAAACACGGTTATATTGAGTTTGTCAAGCCGTTCAGTTAACGTATTCCACAGACCGTCTCATTCAAACACTAATACGTTGTCTACATCTTCGTATCATATCGACATGATCATTTGTGCTCAATTACATGTGACAACCAACATACGTAGACTTAATAAAAGCTTTATTGCTAGTTACCCAATTCGCTCAATCAATCATTTCATCTAATGTATTTATACGCTTGAATCATACCAATTTATTTGATTCTTGCTTCATCTCTGTATTTGCTCACTTGCCAGCTTTGGCATTTCTGTTCGAATTCACTTTGTGTGTTTGTGGCTTTGTATTGTGTCATGAAAAGTGTACAAAGTTGGGAATAATTTGATAATAGTTATTGAGACTATTGCTAATATGAAACTTTAGGAATTATCTCGAAGATAATCCACTACATTCCATTCATTGAATAATAACCGTAAAGAAGAAAAATAAGTGAATGCGAAACAAGGACAGAAGATATGTTTAAATCCACTTTTTGATAATTAACGCTAGAATATGTAAGTAGAACAGTGTCTAATCGACAACAATGTATTCACGCTTTAGTCTGAAAGCCAATCCTGTCTGTTATAGTGAGAGCTAAATTGAGAAGCTTTTACGGCAGAGACAGAAAATATGTTTAGCATCTTCTAGTTTCAAGTAATTCTACTTGTCTATTCGTCCATATTTTAATATCTTTGTTTTCAGTACGTCCCGGACCGAAAAATTTTTCTAAAAATAGTTTCTATTGAGTAGTTTTGAACATTAGTAGTTATCTATTTATATTTACGTTATACAAACATTTCGTTGAACTTGATAATCAAAGTTTTCATACTAATTTGAAGAGATAATTGCACCTTTCTTCATATTTTATTATGTATAGGCATGTCACGTTCGAAAATATGCTAAGACTGAAAAGGTGTATTCTGAAGGAGAAGGAATAGCTCCGAATGAATTTGTATTACTTGTGAGTATGAATAATGTATCGTGTGGCGCTGGTGTACTTGGTTGGGCTTCATATTGTAGTCGAGATCCAGATACTTCGAGGTAAATTAGTTTCATTTGCTACGTTATTTGATTCTGTGAATCATTTTTATGTGTAATACGTTTCCCTATCAGCTGAACAAACATCAAGAGATGTGAACATTTCAACTCAAATTATTGTACAACTATGCAGCATGACAACTCCATCTGTAGCCCTTCTAGATTAACTGCCGTTTACAAACCAACAAAAAGGAGGACGGTTGGATTTGAGGGTTCGGCACTCCACCCCGTAGAAATAAACCTTGCTAAAGACACTAACTAGAATAAACGAATCGAACCACGTATTATCCGTTCAGGTAGTTGATGTGTTTCTATTCAAGGAAATTAAGATGCCTGATGATGAATGCCGAGATTCTTCTCTGTTCATGAGACTGATGACACCTCTGACAACCACAGCAACGATTTGTATAAGTACATGGAATGTCTGGACAATGTATCGATATAAAAATCTACAAAGTTCATGGAAGATGTGTGAACTAGAAATGAAGCAGACATAGCTTCACGCCACCACGTGGTGATTTTCAAATCAAACTAAAAAGAAATAATCGATGGATAACTGGGTGAACAGCATTATGTAGCGTCTATTATATCAAGCCCATATACCATATTCTAGTTTTCGGACAGCCCCTCCTATTCATTTTACTTTAGTCAAATTTTGATCTTGTTAATTATTCGCTTATCAATCTTGACTGTTTTTATATGAGCGCGTAGGTGTGTGTACACTTCTCATCGCATTACTCATCACGTGTCTGTAACTTATTTTCATGTGACTATAAATATTCATTAACTCTTGGTTAAATGAGAGTTGGCTCACCCGCCATCTCCACTGCGTGTCGTTTCGCTTCTCTCTATTCTATTCGCTGCATATACAAAATATATGTATTCAAAAATCGATTCTCGTTATTTGACTTATTTAATTCCGCTGATGACGAACGTGATTTGAGTTGATGATTATATACAAGGATAGGCGACAAAAAACATTGATACAATCTATTTGGAGTCATATCCACGGGCCACTCAAGTGGAGAGCCCGTCAACCAACATCGTTCGATCTGAATGACGACAAGATAACGTACCCCACAATTACAAATGTTTCAAACAGTCTTCCTTCGAGATGCTGACAAACCCAATCAATTCAAGATAACTCTTAACAATAGGTACCAAAACTTACAAGGCTTATAGAAAGAAGAAGGAAATACGGTGGAAAGCAACTAGAAATGTATCAAAGAAGCAATAACTTCAACGCGTTAGGAGGTTCTGAACAGTAACAAATACCAACAGTCATAAAGAGTGAATCTCCATCGAAATCCTGAACGAGATTTAAGAGAGGAATAACAAGAGGACAGCAATTAAGAACAGTCAAACACGAGCAGAGAAAATCAAGGCACAAACTGAATACTCAGAAGTAGAGAAGCACGTAAAAGGGAGCCTCAGAGCCGGAAACCAGAAATACGTAGGAGACGTATCAATGACGGCGGCGAAATCTGAAACAGAAGGAAATATTAGACAACTATATGACACGACGGAGAAACTGTTAGTGAAATATAGTGAACTAGTGAGACAGGTCAAAGACTAAGGAGAGCTAGCCACTTAGATTTAAGAATAGAGGAACATATGGGTAGAGTACATCGAGGAACACTTCAAATAAGCAGATTCACGGAATCTACCACACATCAACGCATCACCCACAGACCTTCTTATAGATGTCACTACACCAACCAAGGAAGAAGTTAGGATGACCATCAAGTAAATGGAAAAAGGAAAGCATCGCAACCTGACAGTTTACCACCTAAAGTACTAACGTCACATATAGCAGCAAATACAAACATATTGCACACTGCATTCAGGAACATTTGGGATGAAGAACAAGTGCAAACGGACCGGAATGAAGGACAAATCATCAAGATACCAAAGAAAGAATATCTGATCAATTGTGTGACTGACAAAAACATCACAAATTGTCAGTATAATGAGATGTTTTCAACATGATGTTGCCCTATATGACGAAAGATTCAGCAGGCACTCAACATCCACATCAATGGATTGGACTCTGTGAGCATCGGACGTGAACAGACCGCATTACAAGAGAACGGATCAACGTTAATAATCAATTGAATGGAGCTCGTCACTATACATCAACATTACTGACTGCGAGAAGGCATAAAACAATGTCTATGGTAGAACATTATGGGAACCCCTTCAATAATATGCAGTGCGCGGCTGACATAATCATAAACATCATCCGAAATTCATATGAAGGACTACAGTGTAAAGTGGTGCATGGAACATAGCTGACAGATACATTCAAAGTGATGACTGGAGTCAGACTGAACTGAATACCCTCACTGTTTCTCTTTCTTATGGTGGTCGACTGGATCATGAAGACTTCAATAGCTGAGGGTAAGAACGTACTACAAAGAACAGCTCGGAATCAATCAGAAGATTTGGTTTCTACAGACGACCCAACTCTTTTGTACCATAAACATCAACAAACACAGACAAAAACAACTGGTGTACCATTAACCTCTCTATCAGTAGAGTCTCAACATATACAAGGGAAAATGCGAAATCCACAAACACAACACACAGAACACCAACACAATCACACTTAATGAACGAACTCTGGAATATATCAAATATTTCACATATCTAAACAGCGCCATCGATGAGCAAGGAGGATCCAATGCACACCTAAAGGCAATTATAAGCTAAACAAGCGCCGCATTCTTACAATTGAATAACATGTGGAATTCAAAAGAATTGTCAACTAATTCGCAAATTCGCAATCTTCAATACGAACATCATGACTTTTCTAGTATATGAAGCTGAAAGTTGGAGAACTACTGAGATTATTATCAAGTCGATACAAGTATTTCTAAACAATTAACTAGACAAGATACTCAATGACCATTGAATACATAACATCAGCAACAACCTACTGTGTGAGAGAGAAAAAACCAGCTACCAGATGAAGAAGAAATTAGGAAAATATGGTGGAAGTGGATAGGTCATGCATTGTGGAAATCAGACTGCATCACGAAGCAAGCGCCAACTTGTAATCGTGAAGGGAGATGAAAAAGTGGGAGACCTGATAACACGAAATGTTGGGTATTGTAAGTATACATATATATATTTGAAACCAACTGGAAAGAAGTGGAAAGGATTACTCAGAACCGGGTTGAATGGCGGATGCTGATTGGTGCACTGTGCTCTTTCATGACTGGTATCAGGTGTAAGTAATTAAGTATGTAGGTAATGAACCATGATGATACTTCCATATTCACTACTTATTAAATGGTATTTGTATTGAACTTAGATATTTATTAATTTCGGCTTTTTGTTTAAGTATACACTTATAAATTATTCACTTATCATTCTGAGTTATGACCTTAATACTTGAATGAAATTTTATTAGTTACTTATTCCAAATTTGATCGTTTTGTACGTTTTCAACTGTTGCGAATAGTATCAAGTCATATGTATATTCTATCGTAGAATATACAATATGTATCCCAGTTTTATTTAATTTGATAAAGTTTGCAAGAGTGTCAAAAAAGGATGAATTATTTATATTAAGTTGTTTATGACAATAGACAGATGAGAATGAGATATCATAGAAATGCAGAAATAAAAATGAATATGCAGAATCTCTTAATTCCATTTTCGACTGGTGATACATACTACTTAAATCCGTTGACACCAGTAGCACCACCACAGTAGTGATTCGATAAAGTTTTAATTCTTCATCAATGGAAACTTTTAAAGTGTTATCAAATGTATTCGATTGATTAGTTAAGCAACATATTTTCCACATTTTAATGATGATGTTCTAATATCTACATTTATTAAAGACACCTTTTATATTGTGTTATACAAGATAAATGTTACCTTGGAACACATTGAAATAAAAGCTAATATATTTATTTTGACGCTCATATTTAGGCCTAATTTAGGTATAGTAAATTACTGTTTAACGGAGGATAGTATTATCAAAGGCGATCAAAACAAGCTAGAAGAAGTTACAAAACATGAAATATGTCATGCATTGGTAAGCTCATTTCTTGAACATGTAAAGAAATTCGCATTGAAATATATTTTTCTACAGTATGCAGATATTACGATTGTAGATTATTTTACCTCGTCAGTATACTTACTTTATTCGAGATGAATTTAAAACGTTTTCAATATCATATTTTAACCAATTGTACGTTCCATGGTTGTCAGGATCAAGTGATACTACTCGATCGAAATCAAGTAAACGATCTAGTTCAGAACACCGATATAACCCGTTATCACTGAGAGGCCGTTTCGTGTAAATATAAAGCTCCTCAGTAGTATGCATTCACGACTACACACACGGTAATGGAACCTAGGACCTTCGGTCTCGCACGCGAACTATTAACCTCTAGACCAGTGAACAGGGATCCAATGTTACTAATGTCTAATTTCAATCAATACATGGCCATCTCAGGTTAGTTCATGAATAAAGCTGACATTCAACAATTTCTACAACTTCATACTGCTAAAATGATACTAAAGACGTCGGTTGTATAAGTATGAAAATTATCAGATATTGTAACAAACTATCAAATATGGGATATAATGTTTAATAATGGTTAACAAAAATTAAGATGAGTGTTCACAAAATTCTATTTAACTAACTTCTTGTCCTAGTTGGATTCTTTGAGCTGGTCGGTTTAATCGTAAAGCATTCAGTTTCTTTTTGAAGACAACACTATTATCAAAAACGTTAGCCATATATGAAGAAATTTAAACAGCTTACCTGTATCTGAATCTTATACGAATAATGTCTATAGAAGGAAAATAAAAACGTCACGAATAAACTACCCACTTCATAAGATACAACACTACCCAAATTATCAGTCTGAGCTATCAAATTATTTTGACCATTTCTTGATCTTTTTTGCCAGGGATTCATTCCGAGTATTTACGCTTACTTACCAGATTTAAGTCCTCAGTATCGAATGCCTGGTAGAAAGTAAGTTCTTTTGGTTATTCTTATCGACTCTTTGATCATTTTGATTATTTTTGTGTGGGGAGTTTTCGTTTCTATTATAACAACGAATAAGCATACAACATTGTTGTGGTACACTATTTGATACTATCTTAGAATGTGAACACAGTGATAAAGGAACTTTGTAAAAATGATCGGAAATGGAAAAGATGAATTCCCTGCTTTCAAGAAGTTAGTGTTCATAATGTTAGTTTAGATTTCAATATGATTTTTGATATACCATCTGTCAAATTTCAAGAAGGTTTACGTTCAACCATTATTCATAGTAAATGTGAACAAAAGATCTATGTGTTATTCATGTGTTATACCTTGTGAATTTGTGCACATATCAATATATAACGTAACGATACCATCAATTAGAGGACAGTGAATTATCAGTCGGACCAATGACGCGTAAAACGTTTCCGATCAGTCTGGAGTCTTTATCGTTCATGCTTCCGGTCTGTACCTGCCTGTTAAGGCCAGAACACCAATTTCAGCCTCTGTGATATGAATCATATATTTCAAACACACTAGGTTTATACACGAACCAGACCGACCACATTGTACCATGAAATATGAAACAACATTTGTACAAAATTTAGCCCAAATTGGCTGTGAATGTGTAGGTTGTAATTAATAGACTGGGTATAACTCAAGAATGGTAAATCGTATAATGATAGTTTATGGGTCAAAATGAAGCTTATAATAAGAGAAATATGAATATGAATAAATTAGTTACTTCACAATCATACAATAAAAATATGTTTATAGTATGAGCGTATGAATAGACCTTAGCAGTTACCATTCATTATTCTCGTCGGGCTATAACAACATGGTAATGAATTGCATAAACAAATGAAATAAAGAAAACAAAATAGGTTAGTATATTTGTAAAATTCCAATGACTTCTATTTAAACTTAGATTAATTTTAATTTTGGATATTTATTCTTTGAAGAAGTGACTTACACTAAGACACGAAACGTCAGAAAATCTAACTTTTCTACTCAATGGAATATTACAAATATATTGATTTATTTATAACAATCTACCCAATGCTCAATTTATTCAAAATTATCAAATCAAACCTTGGTAATGATACCTATAGAATAGATTAGGTCCAAATCTAACAAAATAATTGTTATATACCATTCATATATAAGGCGATAAAGCATTAACTACGAGGACGCTTAAAACATTAAAATATCTAAAGAGTATAATATTCCTGTTTAGATCAGTTACTTTAATTCACTCAAATGATCAATTCATACGAGCACAGATTTAAGTGATATGTAGCTATTTTATTGTTTTCCTGTTTTGTATGATTCGCATAGAATTTACTAAGTTATCTATATTTAAGTAAGATTCAGTGAAAACGTTCATGTTTCTAAAAGACTTTGTATGTATATTTCGATTCAATAAATAATGAATATTAGAACTATTTTTTCTTGATGATAATTATCTAATGATAACATATAGTTGTCTGGTGTATTACACTTCTTCGTAGACAAATCGTTTTAAGCATTTTATAATTCAAAATGATGAGATAGGCACTTTGAAAGTTTGAATTTCTAGGATAACCGGTGAATGTTCAATAAATCTACATTATCAAGTGAATTATCTTTTTTCACTATGAATAACAAATGTTTGATCTATGATGTTCAGAATGTTAACTTATTCATCAGGAATAAATTTCCTCAACTTTTGAAAAATGTTGGTGACTATTTGACTTATGTTCATTAGATTGATTTATTTTTATGGTAGTTTATATGAAAGATGCCCAAACGCAACTGAAAATCAAGGGTTTGAGGCTGACCATTTTCAATAAATAACGATCTACTTTGTGAGAGTAAATTTGAAAATCTTTTCTACTTACTACTGAAATTTCTCAAATGAATTTTCCATAATTTCTATCATCATGTCAAAATTGAAGCACGAAATGTTTAATGAATCAAAAGCTGGTGGTAACTGATTTTAAATTGAGTAACAGCGTTGTCACATCTTTGATTTGTCTACCTAGTAATATACAAGATATAACTTATATTTATATAGATTAAGACATTGACAAGAAACGTTATCTAGTTTAACCTTTAGTCCGAATTGACTAACTGCCTTGAGAGCGAGAAATGAAAACTACTCTGTCACTTGATTACTTGACAAATGCGCGCGTGACAAAGAAGACGAATCAACTGGAACACTACACTAACTATTCCTGATGCCTAATTCCTAATTCAGATTAGTGTAAAAAACAACTTGTATAAATAGATGAGTAACATGACCACAACGTACAAACATTTGGGAAAATACAACTATATCCAAAATTGAGGATTAGTTGGGGAAAATAGAGTACTAAAGGTTGCGTTTAGAACCTAAAAAGGCAATACGGTGAATCAAACATCAAACGAAAGTTTGTAGTTTAGCAAAAAAACTAGGCATGAAAGTAAATGTTATTATTCTGCAAACTTTTAGTTAAGGGAAATAACGTAGTGTGTTGTTAAGTTTACATTGACAATGTGTCTAGAAGGCTAGAATGTATAACCAAATTTATTATCTGTTTTATTCAAGCTTAAGACCTGTACAGAATGTAACAATGAGATGGTTATCAGCTGCAGGTGAATTTCCAGTAACTAGACATATACTTAGACTGCCAAATATGCTTGTAAGTTATATCATTACTTTATTTTAATACGTTGAGACTTTAATTTTAAGTTAGAATGCAGCGGTTATGGAAAAAGATGAAACAAACCACCGCCCATAATCGTAACATGCGTTGTAATTTCTAAACATATATTTTGAAATACATTTTAGGGTAATGATGTTTCATTTGTTTGATTATTTTATATGACATTAATTAGAAGGGTTTGTTGAATTCATTTAATTGTGCGTAACTTCGATGAAATGATCAATAAAAGATGTTGCCATTGAATCCCAATCCCCGATTGTTTGATTAGATCTAATAACAATGAATTATTTTCAACTGATCATTTGTTTTTTATATAATCCATGGTCAACTATAATTTATTTAATAGTTTCTCAGATTTCTTCACGACACGGCACATTCATGGTGACTGTTATATATTCACAACATACAATTATTTACATGCCAAACGTCAATCAATTCGTAGTACTATTGATTTGAAATAATCTTGAGGGGTTCCATGGGAGGGAGAAATATCAACACAGTGACTCCTGGTTTTCAGTAGTTGTCCAACTAAAACTATTTCGTGGTGCAAACTACAAAACATTTATTGTAAATTGTAAAAATGCTTACCTTATTGTCGTTAACATTTAGGATTGCAATTGGTTAGCATTTTTGGCACATATGCATCCTAAGTTGCTTACGCAGTATTATCATCGGGTCACAAGTTAAAGATTAGTTGACCATTGACTATTGGTGGCTTGCGGAATCCATGTTTCATCCGCTGGATATCTGGGATTGGTGGCTAAGTGGATAACACTTCGAAGTGTGAGCAACATGTACTGATTTGGAGTTCCATCAAGAAACGGGGATATTAGACTTTAACGCTAGACAAAACCCACGTTACTTAACAGCTTTTGGCGACACAAGAAAATGAGCTAGTTGGTATCAATATTTATTATCCTGTAATTTGTAGCTTACATGTTGCGTAATTACTCTACTCAAAGTGATTTATGAAATTTCTAATGACTTTTAGTTTGATTTTAAATAATTTACTGCATCACAGTTTCTCTTGATTTTAAAATTATGTATTGTAAGAAGAAGATATTAGTTCAATTATGAATCATCAGAAACTTCTTTCTATTTTCACTTCTATTCTCCTCAACCCGAGTTTCTTAGCATTCTGCTGCCAGGATTTCCACTTACAACTGGCGTTACACACAACGTATGTTTGGCGACAAAAGTAGCATACACTGCAGTATCAGTAGTTTGCAGAAAATCAAAAACAAGTCGAACGGCAAATGTTAGGTACGGAAGAGATGCTTTTGTATTACGGTTAAGAAGAAGAAAATGCTCCGCACACTCAGGCAAGTGATGTAGTGCTGTTCAAAAAAGCAAAAAATGCATTTATAGGATGGGAATCAATGGATTCAGAATCGTCAAAAGAATCATTAAAACAAAGAGGGAAGGAATCGCAATGAATGTTATCCAATGTTATCCACTCACCAATGATAGCAACGACAACAATGAAAATCAATTATATGAGAGGTTGCAACCAATCATAGCGAAATGGCTGGGACGGGACGTGACCATTCTTCTGTGAGAACTGAACGTCGAAGACGAAATAGACAACATGTGTTATGAAGATATCATGAAACGACATGGAATGACTAGACGAAACAATATATGAAATATTTCACTTATCCGGACAGCACCATCGACGACCAAGAAGGATCCGATACACACCCAAAGGCAAACATTAGCTAAACCAGCGCCGCATCCTTAAAACTGTAGAACATATAGAATTCACAACAACTGTCAGCTAATAGTAAATTCGCAATCTTCAATACGAACATCATGACTGTTCTACTGTACCAAGCTGAAAATTGGAGAACTACTGAGATCATTATCAAATCGATACAAGTATTTCTAAACAATCAACTAGACAAGATACTCAATGACCAATGAACACACACCATCAGCAACAACCTACTGTGTGAGAGAGAAAAAACCAGCTACCAGATGAAGAAGAAATTAGGAAAATATGATGAAAGTGGATAGGTCATGCATTGTGGAAATCAGACGGCATCACGAAGCAAGCGCCGAATTGTAATAGTGAAGTGGAAGGAAAAAGCGGGAGAACCATCAACGCACTGTGTCAAGAAATGGAAGCAGAAAATAGAAGGATGAATGACAATTGGAAAGGAATTTTGTTGACAAAGTTCAATGGAGGGTGCTTGTGGGTGTGCTTTGTTCCTCCAAGAAGGGTATCAGACGTAACAGGAACAATAAATAAATAATTACTCATTATGATTAATGTTTGATGCAGTGCTCATTACCATTTTCTCTATTAAATAAATTAGCCCAAGTTATTGTTGTATAAATACTGTATTTGCTGATAGATAAATTCTGTTGAATGCATCGGTAATCGAAAGACAACGACTATTAACTTATGCAACTCAAGAATTATTGATAAATTTTAACTTTAATTATATTTAGAAAACAAAATCAGTGGAAACGTTTATTAATTATTAACATGCATGTGTACTTAGGCATTTGACTAGATTGTTCGTAGAGTTTTCCAGCGAAAATAAGATGTACTTCATACCTTGTTACTTACTCCCATTACCCCTCATGTATGAGCACAGCATACCTACAAGCATTCTCCATTCAACACTGCCCTGAACAATCCATTCCACTACTTTCCAGTTGCTATTTATTCATTTCATGACTGCTCCCAATCCTTGACACAATAAGTTATTGGATCTGGCTCTTTTCTATTCCTCTTTAGGATTCCATGTTACCACTTGCCCCGTGGTGCATTTCAATGCTTTCCGTGATGAATATGCTATCCACTACTTCCACCATATTTTCATAATTTCCTCTTCATCTGGTAGCTAGTTTATTCTCTCCCACAGTAGTTTGTTGTTGACGGTGTCTACTCCATAGTCACTGAGTATCTTGTGTAGGTAATCTCTTAGAAATACTTGTACTGTTTTGATGTAGTTAGAGTAGTATCAATAAATTTTGCTGTTTGTTTTTTTGCTTTTTTCACTAAAGAGAGAAGCAAGAAGACATTTTGGATGCAATCAACTTGAGGGAATCGAATTACAAAGCAATCACTTTAGTCACAGAATCGCAGGAGTAAGTAACTTTCTATCAAGCCTTAAACACATTGTTTGTTTGGCACATTTTGGTTAAAGTGTGATTTGAATTTATGTTTCAACCAACTAATCACATGCCTAGTTCGGAATCAAAATCTAACATCTGGTTTCCACTCATCGTTTAAACAGCAGAAAGCATTGCATGGTGACTAATTCTGATACATCCATTTACACAAAATCATCAACTTTGGGGTGATTTTGAATGTTGTCCTTAACATTAAAATAAAACTTTCATTCATGGTTTAAGTGGCAGATTGTTTCAGACACCATGGTGGGTGAATTGCTTATTGTTGTTCTAGCCACCATGATCAATTGTTTTGACGAACGTAGGTCATTTCATAATCTGGGATGAACTAAACGCGCCATGCTCAACAAATACTGACAAAAATCGACTAACTAATGATGTCATCCTGTTTCTACGTGTTAAGTAAAATGTAGCTGCTATTGCGAAATTATGGCCGTACGTTTTCTCTGAAACTCATATTTATGAAGCTCAAAATTTCATGATATTGTCTGATTTTGAAAAGAGTAAAAAGTAGTTAATAGGCAATTGGAACATATAGGAAAAGACCGTGTGGACTGACTAAATCGCATAATGTTCATTAATGTTCCTCTTTAACTGGTTATTTCATGGTTGAAATTCGTCAGTCGATCATTTATTTGAAAGATTTTTCAATTATTTATAGCATGTGTATAACATAGTCCTAGTTAGCACGTTGATGAAATGCACAGTTTTAAATGATTTAGTTGAGAAACGAAAAACATCTGTGCCTGATGTGACAGTAGGGGACGAAGTATTCAACGATGTCAACCGCTACATGCATTATGGAAGTCTCATTAGCCCTGACTGTTTAGTGACTCATAAAACAATTAAAGTTAGTGCGTCAGAATGTATTAAACCCAGGTCTACGCCTAGTTGGATATAGTATATAGTTAAAATATCATTGAAGTTATGATATTTGTTATGGTGCATTTCATTTCTTGTCTGCGTTGGATTAGACAGATGAATTGTCTGCATCTACACTAGTGGGTTGTACTGAGCACTTTCATGGATATTGTAGGTTGCCTTTGGTTTGCTTGTCTGTGTAGAACTCGTAAAATTGCGTTATACTCGAGTTTGACCTTACCAAATTATTTGAATTTAATATGATTGGACAACTATGGTGCCAGTGAAAAATATAGCCAATTTAACTTGGTCTCTCTTCCGATGATTATTCTTTTGAATAAATGGTAGAAATGAGAAATCGAAAACTAGTTGGATTTATGACATGTATTCACTCACTCACTCACTCACTCACTCACTCACTTACTTACTTACTTACTTACTTACTTACTTACTTACTTACTTACTTACTTACTTACTTACTGACTTACTTACTTACTTAATTACGCCTGTCACTTTGCGTGAAGGTGGTCAATTTATTGTTATCAACCCATTAAAACCTATAATATCCTTTAAAACGCTTTTACAGACTGTCCATATATATTTATTTTTCATATGATCCCAGTGTTAGCAAATAATTTTAGATATGAAAGCCACAGAGATGCCATGCGCACAACGCTAATCATAGTTGAACAAAGGATTACTTTAACATTGGATTGATGTCAGATCGATACGTGACTTCAGGATTTTGGCATATAATTTTGAGACCCTTAACAAACATTATAACTGAGGGGATGAAGAATATGTCAAAATGCCTATAACAACAGAATGAAGCATTCACAATAATTTCAGTTTAACTATCAATGTGATTCTAAGATACTAATTACCATAACTATGATCTTAACGTTTTGACAAACAACTTGTTTTTCAGTATGATCTGATGACACCTAGCATAATGGCTACACAGTCTGTTTCCAGAATAATTCTGGCTTATTTCAAAGACACAAAGTGAGTGATACATAGTTCAATATGATTATTATTAATAAGTATAATAATTTCAGTTCATAATGTAT